TCTTTCCATATCCACAGAGCCAGTTATCTCATCATAGAAGCTAATCAGATTGGTCAGGCATGACTTGCCTTTGGTGAATCCATGTTGACTATTCCTGATCACTTTCCCCTCTTCCAAGTGCTTCAAAATGAATACCTTGAGGATCCCCTCCATGATTTTTCCGGGGACTGAGGTAAGGCTGAATGGTCTATAGATCCCTGGATCGTCCTTCTTCCCTTTTTTAAAGATGGGCACTACATTTACCTTTTTCCAATCATCCGGGATCTCTCCCAATCTCCATGAGTTTTCAAAGATAATGACCAAAGGCTCTGCAATGACATTTGCCAACTCCCTCAGTATCCTCGGATGCATTAAATCCAGACCCATGGATTTGTATATGTCTAGCTTTTCTAAATAGTTCTTAATCTGTTCTCTCTGCACCGAGGACTGCCCACCTCCTTCCCATTCTGCATTGCCTATTACAGTAGTCTGGGAGCTGACCTTGTCTGTGAAGACAGAGGCAAAGAAAGCATTGAGTACTTCAGCTTTTTCCACATCAGCTGTCACTAGAGCTATGTCTACACTGTAGCCTTCTTGCAGAAAAGCTTATGCAAATGAACAGGGCTCGCCGAACTGCCATGTTCTTCTCTTAGAGGTTACATGCTACCAGTTTTCTTCCTTGTTCTGTATTGCCCTCACTGGCTCTTCATCCTGCTGTGCCTGCAATATTAAATGCTGCCTTCCAGGGCTCGCCGAACTGCCATGTTCTTCTCTTAGAGGTTACATGCTACCAGTTTTCTTCCTTGTTCTGTATTGCCCTCACTGGCTCTTCATCCTGCTGTGCCTGCAATATTAAATGCTGCCTTCTATCGAGGAAGTCTTGGGCCTCAAGTCCTCTAATTTTTTCTTCCAAAATGGCGACGAGCTTTCACTTAGTGCAGATGAAATCCCTTCTATCTTGTGGGAGGAAGACAAACATGGAAGACAAACATGGTAACAACAGCAGACCTATCACTATCCATACCTGCCTTCCTTCAGAGAGATTCCTCGGGTGTTTTTAAATGCCCCCTTGAAGGGCAGAAGAGGGAAAAAAAACAAGAAAAAGACTACCAACCAAGGCGAACTCCAAGGCAAACTGCCCTGTTTGCTGCTCACTACATTTGCTCTGGCTGCCTTTTTATAAGGCTGCTGGTTAGGCCTATCTCAAAGTCTTGCCTCTAATCCAATCAGCCCCTGAAGGCCCACCTGGAACACAGCACTCCCAATTCATAGTTTTCAAACTTTCCAACCTCACTCTTTTCAAACTGCCAAACACACAGTCAAACAAATGCTCACAGACAGAAAAACACTTGATACTCACTCCAGCAGCTCACAACACAGCCCCCCAAAAGCCACACTTACCTGAGCTCCTCTCGAAAGTACCTTTTAAGATGCAGAATAGCTATTTTGGGATACTCGTATCCCAAAATAGTGTTGCAGTGTACATGTACCCTTAACAAGCTAAAGGATAAACCCAGTTCCTCCAAGTCCAGTAAATAGTCTAGTTTTATGGAAAGAGGTACTGAGGAAGGTGGAGTTTGTCATCTCTGTTGACACCACACAGAGAATTGCTTCCATTTGTGCAGGTAAGTCTTTCTGGTCATGGGGTGGCGGCTATTTATTAATATTTGTTTTACTTTGTGTGAGCAGGTGTTTTTGGCATGATGGAGCCATGGAGCAGCCAGGCGTTGAAGTGAAATGTTATTGGATCCAGATGAAGCACACAACTGTGGTGCTGAGATAATAGATTGCGGCTGTATGCAGATGCAGAGAGTCAGTCGCTTGAGGTAGAGGAACCAAGTCTGACTGGGCCATGTTGGTACTATGAGTATGATGAGTGCTTGGTTCTCACGTATCTTTTTTATTACTCGCAGCATGAGTGGTATTAGCAGAAAAACGTACAGAACCGGTGCTTTCCATCAGATGAGAAAGGCATCACTATGTGGTCCTTTGCCTGAACCCACTCCAGAACAGAACTGGTAGCATTTGTGATTTATGCGAGTTGTGAAAAGATCGGTTTAAGGGTGGTCCACACCTGTGAAAGTTCTTGTGGAGAATCATAGTGTCTATATCCACTCATGCTGTTCAGAAAAATGATGCTGAGACTGTCCACCCTGGTGTTGTGGGAATCCAAGTAGGTAAGGTGCAATAGGTGTATTATTGTGGTGGATGCACCAGTTCCATAACTGGATTGCTTCCGCAAAGAGGGAGTGCAGCCATGCTCCTCTGTCATTTGATGTAAAACATACAGGTGGTGTCTGTGAGAATCCAGATGGTTCTGTTCTGTATGTATGGCATGAGTGGGACCTAGTTCTAGCAGGCATTGCATTTCCCCCTCAGTTCTAATAGATTGATGTGTAGCATAGATTCTTGAGGAAACCATTTTTCCTGTATCATGTTGTTTCCTAGATGAGCTCCCCAGCTGAGGAGGGAGGTGTCTGTGATTCTGACAGAAGTTAGCCTGAAGACAATGCATGTGTAGCTTGGTGAACTTCATGACGTATGTTGTGGCATCCATATGCCCAAGAATTTGGAGGCAGGTCCTTTTTGTAATGAAAAGGCTGATTTGAACTGTATCAATAAGAATGGTGAGTATATTGAATCTGTTGGGGCAATGTTGCTCTGGCCTGTGTAGAGTCTAATAAAGCTCCTATAAATTTTAGGATCTCAGTTGGTTCCAATGTTGACTTTTGGAGGTTGATCTGCAATTTCAGATACTTAAATAAAGAGACTGTGGTGTGTACCATGTCTAGTGTCTCTTCATAAATGGTACCCTTGGCAGTCATCCAGATAGGGGAATATAATCACCCCCTGGCAACGGAGCTGTGTTGCAACTAACGCTAATGTCTTGGAGCCGTAGAGAAACCAAATGGGAGCATCCTGTACTGGTAGTGCTCTGTGCTGACTGAAATGCAGGAAACGTCTATGTGCTGGATGAATCGCTATATGAAAATATGCATCCTGAGAACCAGTCTCCCCTGTTTAACACTGGTATGACCATGGCAAGAGTGATCATCTTGAACCTTTGATTGTGTATACACTTGTTCAGTCTCCTGAGATTGAGTATTGGTCTCCAACCCCCTATTTTCTTTTGAGTGCGGGTGGAGGCAGCATGTTGGTGAACGTTGGCTTTCGTGCTGGACCCCAAGGTAGCATGATCAGTGCCATTGTGGAGACTTTTTGGCTCAGCTTTGAATTTGCCTGCTTCTGTGCCTTGGTGCCCTTACTGAGGTGGTGCCAGAAATGCCTGGCTTGTCCATGGTGCTCACTCTGGTGGAGTTTGGCATTGTGGGCAAAGATCTGGTGAGAGGAGCCCTTGACTTGTGAGAGTCTTTATCAGAAGATGAAGAGATGCACTTCTTCACAGTGGTAAAAGACTGAGACTTGTCCTATGTCTTTTGGACTGGTCTTATCTTGAGCAGCAGGGTCCTCACCTGAAGGCTGAAGAGATTTTTCCATCTGGATCATTTTTAGGCACAGTTCTCTAACTCACATAGCTCTGACGTTTATGTTAGAGCAATGAGGGCACTTCAGTGGAACATGGCCCTTTCTTAGGCATTTGCCACAGGAGGAAAGTCCATCAGAAATGGGCATTGGATCCTTACATGTGTCACAGCTTTCAAATCCCAGTGAACAAGGCATGATAGATAGTCTAAGGGTAAACAAAAAATATGGAGGGCAGGATCCAATGGGCCGGAAGGCCCCAGACAAAAAATAAAGTGTTTATTTTAAAGGAAAAAAGGTGTTAGTTGAAACTGGGGTGAAGGGAATTTAAAGTTTCTAACTCTATCGTCGTTTTTCTAGGCTAGTAGAGGGTGAGTGCAGGCAGCACCATATGCTGCCGAGGATGGTAGAGAAGGAACTGAGGGAGCCATGCTGTGCATGCAGTCAATGGGGACCAATTACACCACCAGGTGCCATCTGCATATGTGCCGCATGGCAGGGCACCGCTGTGAAAAATTTTGGATCCATAGAGGATGAAAGAAATATTCCCCATCTCTTATCAAATCCAATTTTATTATTTAGCGCAAGGAAAACTTATCCTTGCACTGGGCCATTACTATTCCATCTTGTGTTTGCTAGCGGAAGGATTTCAGAATTCCCTGTAGGTTGAGTACGTAGGCTAACAGAGGCAACTCCAACAAAGGGAAGTTGTGGAGCACTGGTAATGGTCAACTCATTTCCATGCAGTCTTCTCCCTGAGTCTTTCCACAATGCCCCAATGCAGAGTTGGAGAGGCTGAGTTTATTCAGATTTTTTCCCTAGTTCACCTTTTCCATATGTAAGTTATTGTTATATGGAGAAAGCATCCATAGCTTTTCAGGATCAGAGTGATTCAGAAGTCCATATATATTTTCAGCTTGATTGAGGACAGAAACCATTAAGGAACCTTCCTGCAAAATTTGATGAACTTCAGATTTGAATAGCTGTAAAACTAATAAGCTGTTGCTGAACAGTTAAAAAATCAGTTAAAAGATACTCAACTGTATAGCATAGAGTTTACCTTGATCAAATATCTATTCCAACAAGGATTTTTTCCTCTTCCAAAATTTCAGGGTCCTTGCAGTCCTACCTGAACTGGAGTAGAGACCTTAGAAAATCCACTCAGCTTGTGATTTTATGAATCCAGTTCCCTGGTTGGTACTGTCACCCTGAGGACTTTGATTCAATAGCTTTTCTGACTGCATTTATTAATACCTAACATTGGAGGCCCACAATTATTCAGTCATGTCAAAGCCTATAGAATTCAACTATGAGAAGTTCCATCCAAATGCCACAGGGATGGTTTAATTATAGCCTTATGTAAAGCATGTGTATGTCTCCTCTACTTTGGTTTCAAGATTCTTATTTAGATCCAGCCTCTAAGAATAAATTCTGTTTTTAGCATCATTTGTCAGCTTTCCAGAAGCTATTTCTGAAACAAGGGGCCCACACTTTTTCATGCCATTCAATTTTTTGAGCCTATCAGACTGTCCCCTATTAACAAAGGCAATGGTTTTGGAAATGTATTAACTTTCGTTCTAAGATCCACCATGATCTTTTAGTCTGACCTCCTGTATAACATAGTTCATAGGATTTCATTCAGTAATTCCTGCTTCAAACTCAATAACTTCTGGCTGAGCTAGAGCACATCATGTTGAAAGATAAGATTTCGATTTAAAGACTTCGAGTGACAGAGAATCTACGGCACCTGTAGGTAAGTTGTTCCTTTAGTTAATTACTTAAATTTACTTATTTCTAGTTGGAATTTGTTTCGTTTCAGCTACTAGATCTTGTTATACCTTTTGTCTATGAGATTAAAGAGCCCTCTGCTATCAGAACTTTCTTCCCCAAACAGACACTAATAGACTGTGATTAATTTACTTCTCAACCTTCTCTTTTATTAAGCTAAATAGAATTTTGTTTGAATATATCCCAAAAGGATTTTCTTATATACACTTTTAAGTTGGGAGGCAAGTTATCACTCCTTTGTTTATTTAAAAAACACAGTTACTATGTCATTACATTAGTTTTACTTCCCTCCTGCAATGTTCTTGATTATGCTTCCATGTTGAGTAACATCCTTTGAGTTTCTTATTTACCATCTGTGCAGGATTGTCACTTCTGGACTCCTTATAGGCACTTACATTGTAAATTCTGCTTCTCTCTAATTATATCATGACACAGTATTTGCACTAATACCTATCCCCACTAGAGTTTTAATCAAATTGAAAGATAGCAAATTCAAAAGTGATAAAAGAAATATGTTTTCACACAACACATACATAGACCATTTGAATCATTGATGTGGAACCAAGAATTTAGAAAGATTCAAAGAGGGACCGGATGTTTACATACAATAGTAAATTTTAAAACAAAAAGTTTTTAGAAGAACTATAAAACTTAAAGCTCTCAGTATTGGGAATTAGGAGGAGACTATAATGAAGGCAGATTATCTCACATCTGTGAGGTTTCTTGTAACTTTCTCTGAAACATCTGGTGCAGCTAGCCAAAGGTCAGTCTGTTGTGAAGCTGGTTGGCTTCACAGTACCCCAGGGCCTAAACTCTAGGCAAAGTATGTTGGGTTGAAGACATCAACAATTTTCTTGAGAATGAGTGAGAAAAAAAAGTTTGAAAACCGCTGTGCTAGAGATAGTCTTGCTTTTGGTCAACTGAAGGTCCATATCTTGCAGTAGTCACTCAGGCTCTTGTTCAGCTCAGTGCTCATCTTTTTATATGTTTTAGTCCATAGAACCCATCCTTTCCCACTCTCCCATGGCACTGTATGGCCACGAATCATCAATTAAAGAGCAGATGTGACTTGGATCTTTTTCTTAATGGGGCTTTTGTTTCTCTTTCTTGGGTGGGGTGGGTTTTTTTTGTGAGGTCCCCTTACTAAAGGTGCCTCTGCTTATTCTCTGGGAAGATCCTGTGTGCTACAGTCTAGCCCCAGAGACTACAATTCCCATGAGCCCTGGAGGAAACCAGGAAGGAAGTGACTTTTGTTGGGGAGATGGGAGTCTCTCCACGTGTGTGGAGGAAGACTCAGCAGTCTATGGACTCTTCCCTCTGTTTTTAGAGCAGAAAGGGAGCCAGGCTGTTGTGGAGGAGTTTGATCCAGTTCAGGAACTGTTATGTTGCAGTTACAGTCTGGGACAGCGAGCCTTTGGAACTGGGATCTAGCAGGGTGCTTCTGATTGCCCTAGAGGGGAGGCCCTTTGGCTGTACTTGTGGCTAGAAGCTACTCTGCATCCAGCATACAGAAGGAGACTGAGAGTAACTGGGCATCTTTGGGAAAATGCTGCCTGGGACAGACCTCAGAGATACATAGAATCATAGAATACTAGGACTGGAAGAGACCTCGAGAGGTCATTGAGTCCAGTCCCTTGCCCTCATGGCAGGACCAAATACTGTCTAAACCATCCCTGATAGACATTTATCTAACCTACTCTTAAATATCCCCACAGATGGAGATTCCACAACCTCCCTGGGCAATTTATTCCATTGTTTCACTACCCTGACAGGAACTTTTTCATAATGACCAACCTAAACCTCCCTTGTTGCAGTTTAAGCCCCTTGCTTCTTGTTCTATCCTCAGAGGCAAAGATGAACAAGTTTTCTCCCTCCTCCTTATGGCACCCTTTTAGATACCTGAAAACTGCTATCATGTCCCCCCTCAATCTTCTCTTTTCTAAACTAAACAAACCCAGTTCTTTCAGCCTTCCCTCAGAGGTCATGGGTTCTCTAGACTTTTAATCATTCTTGTTGCTCTTGGACCCTTTCCAATTTCTCCACATCTTTCTTGAAATGCGGTGCCCAGAACTGAACACAATACTCCAATTGAGGCCTAACCAGAACAGAGTAGAGTGGAAGAATGACTTCTCGTGTCTTGCTCACAACACACCTGTTAATGCATCCCAGAATCACGTTTGCTTTCTTTGCAACAGCATTACACTGCTGACTCACATTCAGCTTGTGGTCCCCTAGATTCCTTTCTGCTGTACTCCTTCCCAGACAGTCGCTTCCCATTCTGTATGTATGAAACTGATTGTTCCTTCCTAAGTGGAGCACTTTGCATTTGTCTTTATTAAACTTCATCCTATTTATCTCAGACCAGTTCTCCAATTTGTCCAGGTCATTTTGAATTATGGCCCTATCCTCCAGATTATTCACAACCCCTTCCAGCTTGGTATCATCTGCAAACTTAACAAGCGTACTTTCTATACCAATATCTATATCATTGATGAAGATATTGAACAGAGCCGGTCCCAAAACAGACTCCTGCGGAACCCCACTTGTCATGCCTTTCCAGCAGGATTGTGAACCATTAATAACTACACTCTGAGTACGGTTATCCTATGCACCCACCTTATACTAGCCCCATCTAAGTTGTATTTACCTAGTTTTTTGATAAGAATATCATGTGAGACCGTATCAAACGCCTTACTAAAGTCTAAGTATACCACATCCACCGCTTCTCCCTTATCCACAAGACTCGTTATCCTATTAAAGAAAGCTATCAGATTGGTTTGACATGATTTGTTCTTTACAAATCCATGCTGGCTGTTCCCAATCATCTTGCCACTTTCCAAGTGTTTACAGATGATTTCCTTAATTACTTGCTCCATCATCTTCCCTGGCACAGAAGTTAAACTAACTGGTCTGTAATTTCCTGGGTTGTTCTTATTTCCCTTTTTATAGATGGGCACTATAATCTGCCCTTTTCTAGTCCTCTGGAATCTCTCCTGTCTCCCATGATTTTCCAAAGATGATAGCTAGAGGCTCAGATACCT